TCCATCCATCCATCCATCCACCCAATTATCAATTTCATCCATCCATCTATCCATCCAAACCAACCAACCCATCCATCCTCCGTCCACACCTATTATCATCCCTATTTACCCATGTTTCCACCCAATATTACATGTATATCAACCTATAATATTATAACTCTACCATGTGTATCAAGGTTTTGTGTCCAGCGTACATACAGATATCGTCAAATGTGTGGTCTGTCATGAATCAAGGGTATACAGTGCCGGGTAAGTTAGGTTTTTGATTGCAATTCAAATAAGCCATATTTTCCTTTTTTTTTTTACTATGTATAACTTATTTTTGTTTTTTTAAATAATTATTCAGATATGACCAAATGCTTGTTATCTATGATGCTTCCTTCTCATACCACACCAAGAGCAGCTTATCAGTTGTCTCAAGGTATGGTCACAGGCAACTCAAACAAGGTTGCTATGTATCATATACAAATATTTAAATAAGGGAATGTATGGGAGTTATGAAGATTAACTTAATTATAAGTTACGATATAAAAATTTTCACTCAACTATTTGGTTTACAACGTGCTGCAATCATCGCTTGTACCTTGTTAAGTCTTCTAGCAAAGTTTCAGTGCGATTTGAGGCCGTTTAATTGGTTTTTACTAAATTCCTTTCTGAACAACGTACTGTTGACTGTACATTGTTCAGTTTTGTCGTTGAGGAATGGCAATTTTTTTTTATTTTTATAGCTTAATTTTCAATCAAAAACAAGACACAATTGTGGATGTTGTGCTACTAGACTTTGACCTTTACATTGACTCACTATCATGCTTCAATGCCCTGATTACCCATAATGCACTGTTTTGCATAAAGCTCGATCATAATAATAGGCAGTATTATTGTATTTTCTAGGATTAGCAAGGCTCATGAAGCAGGCATTATCTGTATGTGTCTGGCCCGTGACAATGATAATAACACATGGTAGGTTTCATATACCTTATTACGACACTTTAAGGCATCATCTGTATGTGTTTAGCCCGTGACAATGATAATAACACATGGTAGGTTTCATATACCTTGTTACGACACTTTAAGGTATTATCTGTATGTGTTTAGCCCGTGACAATGATAATAACACATGGTAGGTTTCATATACCTTATTACGACACTTTAAGGCATTATCTGTATGCATGTCTGGTCTGTAGGTTTCTTATACTTTATTGACCCCTTGCATGTGACGTCAAAGCAGGTCAGTTTGGGGGACAAAACAAAAGACTTTCAGTCTCATCAGAATTGGCAACCTGAGTATTGTAAAATGTCCTCCAAATCAAGCTGAATCCTGACATACTGCAAGGGGTCTGATACATGAAATCTTTTCAACACTTTAAGGAGGCTTGAAACAATTTTTCTTGAACATGTGCATGTTCTTGGATCAACATACATTGTGTCTTTTGAATTTACAAAATAATTATTTCTTGATTGGGGAGCATGAAATCCCATTACCTATTAATTATATAGCTGCCTAATTAATCCCATATCAGCAAGACCTGACCAATTAAGAAAATAATTGGACAGTTACCTATATGGGATTAATGAGAAGCTGTATAATTATACATTGTAATGATACATTGTATATCAGATTAGAATTTAAGATTTGAATGAAAACGTGGAATTCAATGCATCATTTGCTGATTTGTTTCTTGTTTGATTACCTTCAAGGATTTTAACAGGCAGTTTTGACAAGAGTGTTAAAGTTTGGTCACAAGATGGTCAGGTTATGCATAAATTTGATGGGTTTAGGTAATCATTATATTCAATTAATTAGCGTTATCAAGGACCACAGAGGGGGGTGGGCTGGGGGGCTATAGCTACCACAATAAGATGGTCAGGTTATGCATAAATATGATGGCTTTAGGTAATCATTATATTCAATTAATTAGCATTATCAAGGACCACAGAGGGGGGTGGGCTGGGGGGCTATAGCTACCCCAATATTTTTGCCAACATATTTTGAATTACTTCAGTTTGCTGTTTAAATATCAATATCCAATGCAATGAATGTGTTGTAAATTCCCGTCAAAACACTGGAAATAGCACTTCCAAGGGTCTCAGTTTGAAATATAATTATAATCTTTGTCATCTTAAATATATACACCATAATAAACATTATCATCAGCATCATTATGTAATCACCATCGTCTTATACATGTAGTCATAAATGTTGTTGAAATCATCAACATCATTACCCCCACCATTATCAATCATTAATCATCATCAGCATCATCACCATCACCATCATAATCTTCACAACTGTCATCTTCAGCACCATCATCACCATCACTATCATAAATACACAATAACCATCATCAATATTGTCATTGCATCATTTTAGCATCACTGATACCATCATCATCACCACCACCACCTCCATCATCATCATCATCACCTTCATCCAATTCAATGCTATGATTATAATTAATGCATTATTTTTCTTGCCAGTTCTGCCGTGACTGATGTCTGTTATGTTCGTCCCATCAAGACTATCTGGATCGCAGGGGGGTCAGCAGAGGCTGCTATGTACGACCCTAAGTCTGGTGATAATGTAGGTTACCTTTCCTTTATAAGGGCTATCGTAAACCAAACTAATATCGCTATTTTAGATACCCTGAAACAACCTATACACAGCTTGCATGTTGAGTTTCATGGAGGGACAAAATAAATTTAGTTGGAGGAAACACTAAACAAACTCTACTTACGTCTGGAGATCAGGAATTGAACCTGATGGGAGGGAGGAGGGAGAAAGGGCGAGACGGATAATGGATTGATATTAATAATTAGAATACTCCCTTCTTAGGTGTCAGATTTTATTGGTACATTTCAAAACGAGGAAAGCAATGGGTAAGTTACAAAATGCGAAACACTTGAAATTCACACTAGAAGCAGTGCACGTGAGAAAATATTTTCAAGAAATCTAAGAAATCAAGGCTGGAGTCAAAAGATGACTTTTTTTAAAGAGAAAGTTAGTTAGAAACAGGAAGTCAAATTCAATTTTTTTGTTATTGGTTTATTTTGCGAATTCACAAATACCAATACCTTCACCTTAAAAATGTTGTCAAAGTCAGGGCAAAGGTAACCAGATTGAGCCGGGAAACAACCTCTTGGCTGATCTAAGTCAGGGCATGGCTAACTCACAGATACAACCCTGAAATAACCTCTGGGCTGATCTAAGTCAGGGCATGGCTAACTCACAGATCGAACCCTGAAACAACCTCTGGGCTGATCTAAGTCAGGGCATGGCTAACTCACATATTGAAACATAAAACAACCTCTGGGCTGATCTAAGTCAG